CTACAAATGTCAAGTGTGATATGCACTGCATTGTAGAACTCTAAAGAATTAGTAAATGGCCGGTGCAAGACACACACGTCGAGTCTCAAAGACATTGTTCTAGGAATATTTGACCGTTTCAATTTGCGATTTAAATTGCTCCTACTTCATGTATTTGCTTCATATTTAAATAATGTAGAGTTGAGTATTTTAGAAACTTAGCTAAAGATAAGTCTATTTCTTAATTTTAAATTTTAACTGTTTTGTTCTGTTCGTGCATTATGATGGAAATCCATTCGCGAGCGCGATAAGGTAATATTGAGGTCAATCGTTAGCCCTTCACCAATATAAAATATTGCATCTCATTTACGAGGTTGTTTCAAAATAAAAGTATAAATGCAATGTTGTTGATAGGAAGTGATTCATTTCAAGTGTGAGAACTGTCAGAGTTGCGCAAGCGCTACACTGCACCGAATTTCAATTTGCATGCTTTTATAACGAGCAGTGCAATGAATATGGCGGGATATCCGCCTAATTAGCAAGATATTCGCCTCCGTTTGCGCGCTCCGCTTTATATTGCTTCTTTAATACGCCAATTTTATACCTAAACCCACACTCGTAAATCGTAATGCAACGACTTTCGTGAACCATATTAAGGCCGCATAAAAAGCTCCGAAGGAATTTCGACTTGCATAATAATCCCACGTTAAAAGCGTTTATATTTGAATACATTAGGCTTTAATGGCGAGATCGCTGTGACTTCTATTACTATAGGATATAAGGAAGACCGGCTTCATTCATAGAAGTCGAGGTGACGCAATCCCGCGTGTTGAGGACACGTTGACTTCGCGAACGTTTGGCTTGCCTTCGACGACGGCCGGTCGCAAAGCAAAAAGGTGGTATACAAACACTTTAAAAGCAAACCAGCGTTGCAGCGTTAGGTACCTAAAATACTCTGCGTCGATACGACGATCAATAAATTAAAATTAATTCGGCGTGCGAACGGCGAGATCCGATACGCGATACCGACGCCTACATTTATCATTCGCTAACACGTCGGACATTTCACAGGGGACGCGTGTCGGGGGAATGTAATCTTTATATTCATAGCTGTAGAGGTTACGGGCTCGCGGATGATTGAGCACGTAATGATCCACCGCGGGAACAAAGGATAACACGTCTAAAGACAATGAGTGGAAGGGATAAGTTGGCGTACGTTGCGTTGTAAAGGCGTCGACACACGCGCGGGCACGCAGCGCGCATGCGGATGCTGATGTCACGGCGCGCAAATAAACGCGGCAGACTGGGCGACGCTGGACGCCTGACCTTGGCGAGGTCCAGCCAATTTCTCACGATGTACCCTCAGCCTTTCCACTGGATATGTTACCTCTAATTTATTGCCTACGAGCCATACTCATGGCAAGAAGCATCTATTCAGGCAGGTATGCAAGTAGCCTTTATCTCAGAAAAGTTTTCTCCGCAAAAACTGTTTCAATTTGCTTCGTCTTCTAAAGTCGATAAGTATTGAAGAAGAGTAAAATATCCGAAGACTACACCCTGTTTCGATGTGTCCCTACCATTCGATATGACTAATGAAGAGAGTCGCCAAGTAAATATTTCACGAAAATATTTGACGACTATTCCGAGGGGTGCTGAGAAAATGTGGTGAAGCTCAACCAGCGAATGTTGTTACAAATTTTATTGGGGGGGAATAATTTTAACTGTCGCCGGAAGACGTCATGCTGCGAACGGCATGCCCACGTTTATTACGTACATATGCATCAGTTACCAGTCCCAAAAGGGGCAATTTTCGCCGCTAGCTAAGGAACAAAAAGGTGGGAGCTCACTTTCGGTGTAACCACGCCTTGCATTGTGGGTATGTGAGGAATAAGTGTAGGGCGGACATTTGGGAGTGTGTTATTTGACGTCCAAGTTTATGGAAAGACGTAATCGGCGTATTAAGAAATGCCTTTTCGTTTGTCAAGCCCAAATGTTTACCTTTATGTCAAGTTATTCCGGGCAAAAAATTCGTCGAAAGATGGTAGACTTTTTTGACTAAATTATGACACTTCAATGTCCTCATTTATTTTTTGTCAATTGAAAATTTATTGCATTTAATTTATTTGGCAGCTGTCTTTTTCAATGTAAATCTAAAAAAGTACGAAAAAGGGGTTGTGAAACCGTTACAAAGAGTAAACAAGACGGGTGTAGCGGTGTATCGTCAATTTTACAACACTAGCAGTGCCCTGTGGCGCGCCTGATGATAAGATCTCGAGCTGCATCTGCCGGGGGTGCCTCATAGGGGCCTGGGATCCATTCCGGGGCTTTGTTTCTTCACTGTGAGAAATTGCGGAAGCCTTTACACAATCTTCTTGACACTCAACCACTATTACTGACAAAACCAATCAAAGCGACCTTTATTTCCGAAAGCTTCGTTAATAATGTAGATCCAATGATAACGTTTTGACGAATCCTAATTCAATTTCCGTCGTATTTAATTTACCACCGAACACATTATAGTTCTTGTTTTCTATTAGCCCCGGTGCTTGTAAAACACGAAATCCCCAAACAATCAGGGCTTAGCGGCACACAAACGACATATCTAGTACAATGGCCGAAACTTGCAGCCCTCTAATGAATAAAAAGCGCCGGTGGTCGGCTGGTACTATTGAACCGATGGACGAAAGAGTTGGCTATCGTTTTTGTGTTGATGTTTGCGATTGTCGTTCGTTGGTAGTTGATTTCGGGGCTCGTGGTAGCGGGGCAGGTAGGGCATGTGGCGAGATGGTGCGATAACAGGAATTATTCATACGCGCGTTATCGGTCTGCCATCGCGGGGGCTATTGTGAACGCGGCCTAATGCGCGAGGGGTGGCTCCCGCTCGCAGACGCTGTCACAGCGCTGTGTGCGCGGCCTAATGTGTCCAGCTCGATTGATTATTGTTTTATTTCGTGTTGGTTACTGACCAGCCGGTAGTAAGTCTTTTATCAATCCGATCTGTAACCCTTGATCTATCAAGGTAAAATACACTACCAAAAATAGTTCTTTCATTTTACTATGTATTTTATCTTACAGTCGGATTACTGTCGTAAAAGTTGCTGTGTCTCTAGATAGTGTAGGGATGGTAACAGTAAGGGGTCCCGATTTAGAATCAAGATCGAACGTAGACAACTCTACAGGTCCTAAGTCTTTTCATATCGACAACCTTGATCGTTTTCATTTCCCGAAGAGTCTTATATTTTGGATCCAGTTTAGCATCTCATATGACTAAATCAGTTTTCGGCAGTGGTCCTCTTGCTAGATTCTTCCAGCTGGTTCCTCTAAGCCGGGTCGCAATACGGGTGCTGCGATAAGATCGGCTATCTGGTCTACGATCGCCACCTGGACGGTGCGGGCTAAACCCACGTATCCACACGTGTATTGTGTTGTGACGGATATTTTTGTGTCGTATCGATAATCGTTTACGTTTGTTTATGGATTGCGATTCCAGATTACATCGAGGCTGCTATTTCACGTAAACTTGTGGGCGGAATTCACTGTTTGTAATTGCTGTGGAAGGTGTATATGAATAATGATTCGATTGGGTTTACGAATTCTTGAATGTTTGTGGTTTTTGATATTTGGTATTGAAATTCTTTATAAATTGTAGATATCGTGTTACTTGACATTCAAAATTGCCAGATTACGTTCAGTAGTTTACAGTAAAGTCACGTAATTTTCATTACCATTTCATTCTCAATAGATTTCTCTACCTACTCTCACAAAGTGGAGTAAGTAGGTAACAAGGTACTATGACGACTAGATAGATACACGTCTACTTGAATACCTATTATCTAGTTATTATAGGTTGAAACTAAGGAAGTTCAAGAGATAAGAGATTTCAAAAGCCAATTCTTTTCATGACATAACAGTAAGATACGTAATCTAGATTACTAGAAGCACATAATTATTTATTTATTACCCACCCGGCGTTCAAGCAATTCTTATATTGACGTTCCCACAGCGATTCCGCGCTGTTAAATCGGAATCCAATCTAATAAACCGTAGGTTTAGTGCAAGTTCACTGCTAACTTGTTATTAGCACCCGCAGAGCCCCGCAGGACCCCGCAGGACCCCAGCCCGAGGGATGCCAGCCAATCGCACCACCCAACGACACCATTAACACACACACCCTACCCCACGTACATATGTTAGCTTTCACTTTAAATAATAATTGTCGAATGCAGTTCGGGGAATTAAAAAGGGGAGCGAGGATGCCCAGTACATATACTCGCAATTGTCTGAAATACGCACAGACATTCTTATTTATTTATTACTATTAACATTCAACCCCATAACAATAAAATTGTAGAACACTTTTATATTTCACAAAACAAATCCGTTGAGTAATAAAATGTGCTATGTAAATCACAACACACATTAATACGGTAACCAAACAAATCAACGTAGTGTATCATCAAAACTGACACTGCTATGCACATAATTAATGAAATTTCCAGCTGGCCTACTATTTTAATTGCCTGGTGTTGTGACATGGCACTTTTGAAACATTTCGGAAAAGAGCGGCCTTTTGTTCACGGACGCAACCGACATCCGAGGAATAACAAGCCATTATATGTTTATCAAATACGCATTAGACCGCCTGTATCCAAGGCTATTACAGTATTCCGGGATGAAGATGTCGTGTGAAAGAGCGGTGGTTAGATAAAATGATATTAATTTAGACAACCGCAGGCGTGGCTACAAAACGCCTTCAAATTGTCCCTCTAATGATGGCGTTTCGATGTTTCGGACTCGCGCTACAATGACTCGCGTATCAGCAGATCTCCGTCAACTATGATAATGGTCATTTAAACGCTCGTAAACTTTAAGAGGCTCAGGGAATCAAATGACACTAATGTCATCGCCGTTATGAATACGAAAAGTTTTACGGTATCATTAAAATTCATGGTTACGGAATCCGGCATGGTGCTCTGATTTCGAAAACTGTTTCGGTTTTAATTACCTTTTTATGTTTGCAGGTCGGACGCTGAGCGGCGGCAGCGGGCAGGTGTGCCGGCCGCACTTCCACACGCCGCTGCACCCGTGGCTGGAGTCGAAGGCGCTGGGCGGCGGCGCGTGGGGCGGCGGCTTCCAGCAGGACGCCGCGCCCTCGGACAAGCCGCTGTCCCCGGCGCAGCACCACCACCCGCACCCCCTGTTCTCCTTCCCGCCGACGCCGCCCAAGGACTCCACGCCGGACTCCGTGGCGGCGGCCACGCTCGGCCAGCAGGACTACCAGGCGGCCGTCGCGCACGCCACCGCCATGAGCGTCGCCTTCATGCAGCAGCAGCAGGAGCTGCCGCTGTGCGGCGACGTCAAACCTATGATGGGCGCGCCCCCCTCGAAGCAACGCGAAGGTGCGCAGCCGGACTCGTGTCCCCAGGAGTCGAGCCAGCCCTCCGGGGAGTACAACGCGCAGTACAACGCCGCCGGCGGCGACTACTACAACTACCAGGGGAAAGGGTTTAGTGGGGCGCAGCAGCAGAGCAAGCCGCGCCCGAACAAGACGCGAACTAGCGCCGGTGAGTCCGCGGGACCCGCACTGCACCGCTCTCGCTGCACCGGCACTCACGCGACGCTTATCCGATCACGCCACCAGCGCTTCCCGAACACGGCCTCTCGCACGAGCCCAGGACAATAACACCACCGACCACCACCAGAACGTCCATTCTAACAGCTTTCACTCCGATCCATCCGGCTAATCAGTTAATAAATCAAATGCGCCGAGAGCCTTTCGAGGCTTGTTAATCAAAGCCTTTACAAAAAGGCTGCCACGATAGTCAGTGCGTAATTAGAATCTCAGTGCCAGTTGTCTCATCGACAATCGCGATTTATTAATTCGATAAACGAAGCGAGATTAATATTTCATTTGGTGTTTCCAAATGGCATTGTCGAATAATTGCAGCCGGGACGGTGCGATGTGGTCGGATAAGCGTGGTCCTTGCACGGGGGTTGTGGCGCCACACGTTCTCTATCTGTTCACGGCATCGCTCCGTTACTGTTCTGGGCTTGGGATGGTTTCAATGTTAACTACCGCTTATAACTAACCGCTATTCCGATTGGTGAAGGTGTTACTAACGATTTATTATTGACTATTTTACAGTTGACGTCCCTCGGCGAGATAAATCTATTTGTACGTCCCGTTTATCTTATAATAGGATTTTGTTTTAAGTAAATGTCCGAGTCGGTTTCTCATGGTTAATCACTGTTAACTATTATTGCCTTAGATACGTAGGTGCGCGGTGCGCGGGCGCAACATTCATTGTTGCCGCGAAGGCGCGGGCCTTGTGATCTCGACCAAACTTACCAAAGTGGTTTCTCATTATTTATTTTCGAGGCGCTATTGTTTTAGTTGCGTAATTAAACAAATGCTTTAAAATTTTCTGTTAATTTTCTTGTTAAGTTTCGGAGCAAAATGTACGCGGTGACTCAACACAATTTAGGATGTTGGCTACATTAATGAAATGGTACAGACCAAAATAATGGCTCTACAATAACTGGAATAGAGTTTTGGAGTGTTGTTACGACGTCAAGTACCTAATAACAATTGCGCGATAGCGTTGAACTTAGCATTTTCATAAAAGCAAACGCACGCAGTAAGCGGAACATTACCGGCAAAGCAAATATCAATACAGATCCAGACAGAGACTCTTTTGTGGAGCTCCGCGTGACCTTTAATACTAATGTGAACATTGTTACAGCTGCAAATGCAAGTTTTCGCAATAAGAACATACCAGTTATTACGAACACAACAGAGAATTACTCAACGGTTATTGTATTAACACCACATAATGCCGCTTTATTTTATATTTAAAAATGTAATTATGACTCTCATAGTTAAACTTTGACAATGGACGGGAACTAAAAACGGCCCGTGTATTGTCTCTTATTAGTATAATGAATCTGCGGCATTAAATAGGATGACTGTTAATATAGATTAGCATTGAATTAAAGTTGCCGTTGCAATTATGTTTGTTCAATATTTTGTGAAATTTTAAGTGTTATTAACATGTTCCAATCTCACGCGGTCGGCGGATCGCTCGGATTTCTCAGGAGATAAGTTATTGAAAAACTAGACGATGTTAATTACTGTGGATGAAGTCTTTCAAGTAGACATTTATATGTCAAATTGCGGAGTTCCGCGTGCGAAGAATGAAAGTGGCACTTGATAGTTGTATTCCCAAAGAGCTTTTCACTAAGGAAGGCGAGGACAATGAGCGACCCTTAATTAAGCGATTGTAGATTGCGCCTGCGCATCATAGCAGCGAAACGAATTGCCGCAATTCGTGAGAAGATTTATGAGTCGTTAAACGCTAAAGATGGAATCAATCAACCCCGAGATAGCAATGTAGATAGTGATTAAAAGAAGCGCTGGAAAACTAATAGCATTATCGAGTTAGCTCCACAATGAGGTAAAAGACGGCCGGATCGACGTGCGCGTACGCTCCACTTTGTGTAACGCGTCGTTAACCAGTTTTTGTTCATCGTGTACTCGTTAATTGTTGTAAAAACTTAATAGACTTAGGTATACGCGTGTGTAATTGGAAATTGAGTATTAGCTCACTTATTTAATTAATTGCTAATTGTGTTTACAATGATAACAATACAAAACGGCGCAGAATTNTTGTAATTCTGATACGAGTAAGTTAATATTAAAGTGTAAAATTAAAGCTTATTAGTGACCTGAGGTGGTGGGAGCCTGATGACCTGTAATACAGGTATACTAAATACCTAGCATAGGCATCAGACTCACACAAGAATGAACATCAAACGTATCTTATACATTCACTATGTAATTCTGTTGGATTTTTTGTGTGAGTAAAATAAATATTTATTTATTTATTTATTTATTGATTCTCAGATTTAACAGTAATAACAACGATCTCAATATACGAGTAATGTACTTTGATCTTCGATAAGGGGCAAAAGATATCGCATTTAACACATCGTGATAACTAAATTCGTAGACCTAGGTCTTTAGGTATCTCAGAAACTAAAATGAGTTATACGACTTTGGATTTTCTTTCCCTCTGATTTACTAATATGCAACTTGCTTTTCAAGAATGACAAAATGACAAGCTCTACAATGCTAACTATATTTTCCTTTTGCAATTAAATGTACTTACAGCTTTTTCCAACCTAACCAGAGTCCACAGTACTTACGTGTCGAGGTAGCAGTTCCTTGGTGGAAACTGTATTATGATAATACGCCGGCCGGATATGGCCCATTCCATTGTTGCCGATCGCTTGACCTCGGGCCTCCGCCTCTGTTCTATGAAACAAACGGATTTAAAAACAAATTAAGATTTCACGTTATATCATCCTTTGGACGCAGGTACCGTGTCAAAGACAACGTTGGGGGCTTGATGTCTTCCTTGAATGGTGTTATGTAATAATGCATATCGATTATGAGTTAAATAAACTAACAGTTTATTTGGAACTGAAATCGGACTTTCAAACTAAATTACAATATGAGCACGTTGTGTTACATTTTGTAGCTAGGTACAATATCCTAGATGAGGTAGGTAATAATTTTATAATTTGTTATGGTTTATGACATTTATTTCTCAAAACAGAAAATACATTCACTTACATTGGGAAACACTGGTTAGTAAATTATTCTTCATGGAGAGAAAGTAATTTCGAAGAAATCATTCGGATGTTAAATGGAATCGTTCCAAATGACAAAATTGATAGGTACTTTTGGATGTGGTAACGCGAAACGCGATACAATGTAACGTTGTGTAGAGATTTGCCATCCACAGAGCCCGCGTATCGAGCACAAAATCTGAACGTATTGTATTAACTCTATATTTAGTTCAAACATTAAAACAAAGATTTACGCGTGTCTAAAAAGTCGTGATCCAAAGATTTCGTACACAAATACAATATTAGAAGAATGCCAAGGAAAGGGCAATTGAAATAGCACGCGGTCAGGCACATTCTCGACCCGTTTTATAGATATCGTACAGGCTATTTCTTAACTAACTGCACCATTCAACACTTTCTAAAACAATGCAACGTTCACTTTAAGTGGCATTTAAATTATTCCATAGTTTTATGTTCGATTAACAATTGGAACCGCCGCATTGTCTGATCGGACTAATACGAGGGTAATTTTCAATTCTGTATCTGATACGACTGGAAGGTATGCTGCTTTACGAGACGTTTGTATATTCAGCTATGTGGAGTATAAAAGATTAAATGTTTTGCTAAATAGGTTAAAATTCCGTTACGGAAAAGTTGTGTACTTGCTACGAGTAGGTATATTTATGTTATCAGACGAAATCAAATTTTTTATCACTAAAAAATAAGTTGAGATTAAGTTGAACGCCAGATAAAATACATAACAGGGTCATATTAAATTAAGTAACTGATGGCATGTTAATAAAGTAAGCAATAATAACTTAAAATTCACGTCGTCGAGTAACGTGTGAAGCAAGGATGAACAGAATACCCGAGCTCAATTCTCTCCACATTTTATCTGCATTTAGTTTGTACTGTTACTACAATACGCTTGCGTGTTGTCACTTACGAAACCAATNTTGGAAGGTATGCTGCTTTACGAGACGTTTGTATATTCAACTATGTGGCGTATAAAATACTAAATCTTTTACAAAATAGGTTAAAATGCCGTTACGAAAAAAGTTTTAAGTATCAGATGTTTTCAGACGAAGTCAAACTTTTTGCCAGAAAAAAAAAATAGATGAATTTAAAAAAAATACATAACAGGGTCATATTAAATTAACTAACTGATGGCATGTTAATAAAGTAAGCAATAATCACTTAAAATTCACGTCGTCGTGTAACGTGTGAAGTAGAGATGGGTTATACTAGGTAAATTTGATACTAGGTGCACCTATTCCTAGTATTTATTAATACTCGATCCAAATACCTGTTCCACCTAGTACGTAGTAATTTAGCATACTTGACGCGACTAGTGCGGACTAATCCACGTAATATGACTTTAAAATACAATTTTCTTTGAAAAGATACAACCGTAGTATGAATAATGCAATTTGAAATTGAATAATAATTCCTCCCTTCATACTTCAACAGGCTTAGGACTGTCAACTTAAAAGTTGTCGTATTTAAAAGATGTCAATTTCATAAAAATATTTACATATTTTTTCTTATTTACATGAATATGGTTTGACTACGTTTGTGTGCGTTTGCTTCGTCGCGCTCAAATTTGATTGGTCAGACAGAGACGGAGTGAATCTCTACGTTCGCACATAAGCTTAGCGAGAAATACTAGGTGCGCGTAATACACGACTACGGATTACGCAATAATAACCTCTATTACTTTGACAGTAGGGTCGGAAATCGTGTATTTTATAAAATACTAGGTGGATCAAGTATTTTAAAAATTGGAATAGGTGCCGCCTAGTACTGTAAAATACCTGGTGTGTGGATCTGTTCTAGTAAATACGTCTCATCTCTAGTGTGAAGCAAGGATGAACAGAATACCCGAGCTCAATTCTCTCCACATTTTATCTGCATTTAGTTTGTACTGTTACTACAATACGCTTGCGTGATGTCACTTACCAAACCAATTAACTTCTACTCGAGTTAGATCACAGGTATTCATGTGTGGTCTTAATTACAATACGAATAGGGTATATTTTAAAATAATCAGCTTAGTTTTACTAAGTGAATGCGATACGGGCTGTCGAGTAAGAGGAATGAAGTCCCGGCGTCCGGTTTTTGTCCAAGGCGATTTTTTGAAAGAGCCACAGTAGCGTGATTGATGTCCTAAGTAAATAGAATATTAATATAATCTTTAATTATGTTGTACAGGTTTTAATAACAATAAAAAATACACACAAAGTGGTAGCGTTTGGATACGAGCGTTGGGTTTTTGCATCCTGTTAGTAGGGTTGTCAACATTTGGGACCACAGTAATTTAGGTGCGTACAGTTTGTTTTAAAACCAGTTTGGTACGACTTTAGGGTTGCTAAAAGCTTGAAAAAAAAAACACTATATTCTAGAGTCCACTTGTATAAGTTCAAAAAGCAAGTTCCAAAGCAGATGGAACAATGATACGGTACATAGATATTTTAAAACTAAAGGCTTAGGCAAGCAACATTTTAAAACAATTTTGTGTGCTATACACAAAGCATTAGACGATGCATAGAAGCGTAATAAAAATCACAACCCTGACCACACTGTACTTGTACACTGTACGTAGGTATACTAAATTCGTCACGGTCTGCTGGCACAATTGCACTCGAAATTTGCATTTTACGTTGGACGTCCAAGTCGTGGTGATTAATTGAATTATTAAACAAGCATTAGGTCCGCGATTATAAAATATAATAGGACACAGTCACCGCGATGTCAAGCTAAACAAACTCATGGGTTACAATCACGAACAGAATGATTTGCCTGGTTAAAATTAAGTGGAGATTGAACATTCAATGTTGGCTTTCGGAAATTACACATGAATGACTAAGCTGCTGTGCTCAGACGGGAAATTAGGTAGAGATTAGTATTGGCAACCCTAAGTTGGTCAGTACAGGATGGCATAGTATGTTGGCGTCATCTCTGCGCGGTACTGTAATTACGCTGGGCTCAGTGCAACAGCAGCGGTGTATCGTCACGTAATTATCCGGCGCATGCAAATGCAGAATGCAAATATGACTGGCCGGTCGCGGGCGCAATCCGTGAAAAATGGCTTCATTCCTCGACCCCGCTTAGCCCATGTCACTCTCATTAAAACGGAAAAACAAAGGAATCACGAGTCAACGACTCAACTCTTTTTGCTCAATCTATGAACAACACAATGCTCAATAAAAACGAAGAGCATCGGGACCCGCGCGAGACCATCGGCTACCATTAAAATTTCCTATTTGCATACGGGCATATAATTAAGGCGTAATAACAGCCTCTGTGGCGCAACAGAGAATAAGTTTTGAGCAATAATTTAATGGTTTGTATGCAAAATAGCCTCACCGTTACGTGTTGATGGGCCGATGCGCCGAGAGAGCGCGTCACGGTACACGGGAGCGAATTAGTCCTTCATTTAAATTACATTACCCCAGTGCACATTAGCGCTATACGTGACTGTATTCGTGTTTTTGTGTTGCGGTTTCATTGAGGAGTAACGGGCGTTTGTTTTGACGCATCGATAGTTCTAGGGTCAACATCACTCGATGCACCCTCTGCTGAATCGGCGCGGGTTGTTTTCCCAACGCCGCGTGTGAAAACTTCGCGAGTCCTCGCCGAGTGCGGCTGAGGATCTCTCGAAACATAAAAACCGCCCACTCGGCCACGTAAATATGGCAGATGAAAATCTTTTATCGCGGTCACGTAGCGCCGCCGCGTCACGACCGCGCGTCACTCCGGGCTATAAAGACCGAGCCGCATTCTAATTTTGAACAAACACAAGAATTTTTCGCTCAAACGACTCACTTTCAGGATAGGCACTGGACGAGTACCGTAACGGCGCTCTAAAATATATCTTTATTGTTTGTCAAAACCACGTCGCCGCGCGCGAGATCGCTCGATAGCCCAAACTTCGGGGGAAATGAAGAAATAACTCAGCGCGAACGTATTAAAACACAGTTATCACTGTGATTGAACCAGATTGAACAATTATAACGTGTGGTTATTAATCAGAGACGTTGTTCCCCTTAATAATACGTGTAATGTCGATATATGAGCGGCGAGTGACTGTAAATCTCAAAAACGCCACCGCCCGCGGCCGCGCCGACTTTCACAAGCGTTTTTACGAATAGAGATGTTACTATTGAACTAAATCAGTACGAGCTAGAGACACTATCATAAAACATCGTGTTCAGTGTAATATCCTGTTATTTTTTACTAATAATCGTTATTGGTGTTTATTTATTACAAACTCGGAACAAATTACAGGCTTTATCGACGGAACAAAAAATGTAAAGGGTTAGTCCAAAAAGTGAGTCGTCGGTTCGATCGCAATAAGTTTTCGATAAGGTCCGGGCGATTTAATTGCCGGTTGTGATCTGGTTTTACATAAAAAAGATGAAAGGCCGCATCGCCTGAAGCTCGTAAAACATTTTGGGTTCGATATGAGGTTTTTTCTATGGGATATTCGACCACTTTCACCTTCCTGTTGCGATCCGTTCGTTTATTTATTCAAACCGTTCACCGCGCGTCTGCCGGGGGACCTCGATAATCAGATCTAGATACCTAAACGATTCTGCACCGATGGACGGCACGCATTCCTGCGATCGTGCAGGAATAGCTCTACACTGCTCTTTTTAGACGACTCTACTGCCAGTGACGTAACATTTGACTTTTAGCAGCGGTCTCTCGCGTAGGATACATTGAACCTCAAAAAGGATGCGAAGGTGTAACGAGCCTCAAATTCGATCACTGTAAATCATCGATCGTGTAATCGAGTTTAGAGAGATTGTGGGCGGCGCACGCGCTTCCCATATGTGAACACATCCTCTGACTAACCATGTGAAAATTTTGTTTTTTTGTTCAAAAGAAATCAATTAGGAGAAAGTGATTTTTGGAACGTTTATCCCTGGAGGGCGGCTCGACTCGGGGTCAGGATCTAAGATTGTTTCTTCGCATGTGTATTTAATCGCATGTAAATCGTATGTCGAGCATTATTCATGTACGCCGCTTGAGTAGTTTGATTTATTAGGTGACAAAAGATGAGTTTATCTAAGCATTTATACGTAAAATGGTAGAGATTAGCAATTCAACACGGTTCATGGATGAGGTGGTATGCTTGCGTTGAAGATTGTTTGAGACGTACACGCATACATGTGTATACAATTACATATAGCGAAAATTAGCATGTAGGTAATATTTTACTTTATAGCTCTGTTCTGCTCTGTTTCGCGGCTAGACGCTCTCGAATATTTTTGCAACAACCATTTATTTTTATAGCGATTCGCTTTTGCTTGTTAAATACCATTCCGCGGTAGTGCGTTGCGTTATTGATTTATTTTTTGAAAAACGTTTTACATATTTTTTGGGAAAGTTGAAACTTTATATGAAAAAGTTTATAGATAAACCTATGCATGATAAAAAAAAATATGCTAGTTACCTACTTTTACTTTAGGAGTCACATCATAACGTAATTTTATCAAAAAAGTAACTTGACCACATCCAGTTAGCAGATGTAACGTCAGATTGTTTGATTAATCAATTGGGCCCATGTTCGCTATACGACGAGCTGTCTAACACTTGATTAACATTTGCATACCAACTGCAGTCCAGCGATCGCCGGCCTCTCTTCCATCGCCGCGCACTTTCTCCGGATTTTCCTTGCGTGTAAAAAATCTTGATATTTTTTCTTCGAGTTTCACTCGCCGCTTTCCCTAGTTAATTAAATATTTTACTATTTTTCGTAGTAATTGCAATTACGCCGACTCCGACTAAGTCGATGATGCAGTACTTTATGTAATTGTGAACGTGTTTGTTTTGTGTATCTCGCATGCTTTGTTTGTTAGTGAAACTTGATCCGTAATGTTTCTGAATGTGATTTTCTCTCATCTTTCTCAGCCTGCCAGGAGACAGGTAATCACAGTTGACTAACGCTTTATTTCGCTTTCATAATTTGGTTGTTATACACTATTGTTAATTGGTGTTGGTTATTTTCGCTTCGTTTGTTTTAATTAAAAATTAAAGAATTATTTTTTGTAAAAGCAATATTGAGTAGAAATATTATACACTGCAAAAATAATTTCATATCAAAAATAAAGCTGCCTACTATCGGTAATACAGCGTGCGTTTTCTGACTCGACTTTTATGCGACAGAGGGCCGGGAGTGCGTGAACTGCGGAGCGACCAGCACTCCTCTGTGGCGGCGCGACGGCACCGGCCACTACCTCTGCAACGCCTGCGGCCTCTACTACAAGATGAACGGCCAGAACCGGCCCCTAATCAAGCCTAAGCGAAGATTGGTGAGTGTAAGAATCCGACCAATTTTGTCTTTGCTTTTACAGATGCTTTATTTGGAGATAGAATTAAACACGACGAGTTTCTTGGTAGTCAAGTTATGGCTGTACAAGTTTGTCATTTTGTCTGTTTTTGGTGACATTACATCAACCTATGAATGCGGAAGTCAGGGATACATAGGTACGTTGAACTTAATTTGTAATGGCGCATCTCACAAAAATGACACTGGTTTGCGTTATGGGTGGGTACGCTTATTACACCAGACATTTATGTCCGAGATAACAGTTAAAGTAGGATTTCGAGACAATCCCAACAAGAATGGGTGTTGTTTACAGTTAAGGGGCAGCAATAAAAAGGCGGAGCATGCACGCCCGCACGACACTCGCTAAGCGCTGCCACAAATTGGGCACTTATGAAACTTGAACGTTTCGACGAAAGCGCTCAGCGTCCACTAAACTAGCCTCTCCATGACCGCTATAAATCTTCCAGTTAACGTTTAATCTAAGGTCGGACGCATAAAACTGAAACAATGCGACATTCGCCGCGCGTCACGTCGCCGATGTCGCCTAACGAGTGGCCCGTGCGCGCAATTGTACCCACAATTTACCTTAATACAGCCTCACAGACATAAACTAGCGAAATGGCACGGAATTATTTGCTTTTGTTGCCCAAATTACGTAATGCCCACGTTATGGTTTCATTGCAGCGTTCCGCCTGTTACAGCGGTTACCATACGTCGTTATTCGAACACACGATTCAAATTACAAACTTAATAAAATGCATCTTATGTTTATATTAACATAATTGTAATAGGAGCGATTTTGTAAAATAATTTCACGTCGCGCGTCGCCGCTACTCGAGTCATGGTTTTTAAACCCGGATGTCGGCGTAGCAGTTTTAATATTAAGATTCACTGTACTGTATAGAGATACCGTTAATGCTGCTCGGGAAAAATTGAATTCTCACTTTTATTTTCACTGTGGGAAATGTGAGACAATGCGCTCGCTCGCTCGGACGCGGCTAATCCAGAACTAGCTTCGCCGCTTTTTAGTTTGGTATTCGTTACCGTATTTATACGTTCATTTTTTGCATTCAGTAGACTATTATTTAGATCTCAAAGAAATGATAACAATCGAATATTTACATAACAAACATATTAAGTAAATGAGCGAATAACCTTTATGCATAAGTACAGTTACATTTTGTCGCTGTTTTAGAATTAATTGCGAATTAAAAGTCAACACATCAATATTCAGACTAAAAATATGATAATTATCCACATTACTTCAGGTAAAGAAAAATATAAATATTAATTTGATTTCGTACACATAAATCAAAATATTAAGACAATCTGGCAACATGATGTACGTTTGAACATTAATTGACCAAACTAGTGCATGGCAATTAGCGGGCCCATTAAGAAACCACGACCTTCTGCCGCCGTCTAATTGGACAAAACACCAAACTACAACAATGAATTAAAACTTAATTCGAATTCATAATAATTAGACTACTACAATTACCCTGCTGCACTTGACACGATTAGAAGTGGGAATATTCTGACAATACAAATTGCTCGTTACTTCGGCTCTCTGTGTGGAACAATTGATAAATAATCCGTCTCACTTCATAAAAATAACTATTAACCTTGCATTTAAAAATTTTCTTTGTTTTCAAATAATTTGCAATGACCTTTATGCACAATGCGCCCGCCGATGTGTTAATGCAATTAGTTTTATTTATTGTCTGCCTTTCCAATGTTTTGAGAATAAAATATTAGGCCCATTAGCAATTTACCAACTTCTGGAATCCATATATTACTCATTTACTATTTTCAGAAATTTAAAAAAATAAAATATGTAGTAACTTTTTAATTACCAACAGTTTCATTCATAAAATGTTAAACATCGTTATTAATTTACATAAAGATATAAAATTGTAATAAACCAAAGTCATAACTCGATCTTACTATCTATAGTTTCTTATTCTTTCAATAAGTATGTGTGTTGTCGTAAATTATACAAAATATTCAAACGCAGCGTTATCTGACTAGATGATCTCGATTTCTGTGAGAACGGCATGCAAAAAATGTGTAGCCTTCACAAAAAGTTAAATATTTAACTAATAAATGTAGGTAAATAGAGTAATAACTGCGTCGGTAGCAAACTTTGTAATTATAATGCGTTTTGCCACGACGTTGTTCCGAATGAAGATGGCTCAGATAAAATTTTATTACTTGAACAAGAGTCAAGACTTACCGTACTCCGAATATATTTAAAAAATCCACATTTTGTTAGGGTGTATGTCAGTTGCGTTTCTAAAACTTTATGAATAGCATATTAGTTATATTTATTGCGAATTAAACGAAAATTATTTAGATTAAAATACGGAAGGAGACAGTATATTTAAGATCATTACAATATTTCATATTTAAATTGGCATTGTCTGGTTAATTTTTAAGAAGCGTTTCTCACAGATTCTAATCATAATTGAAATAAATATTTTTCTTTTGTTTCGCACTGTATAATTTAATGTGTAGTTAAGGGGACAAAATAGTGTGAATAGGTGGAAAGTCGCAATTTTCTAGTTGATATTTGAAAAGGTTTAGTCGTATTGGTGGTAAAAATGTTTGTAGATATTTCTAAATCAAACTTAGCAAGGGTAAAGTTAGTCGATGAAGTAAAAATGGTCTGTACAGAAACCCGTTCTTTCACCGCGGTTACGAGAGTCGGCGCTTAATATGCTATGACAAGCTACACCTTCCAGCTAGTCTATAAAATTTCGCACGGGCAATTGACTATACTAGGAAAGTGCTGGTCTGACGAAAATAAAGCCGATTTCAGAATTATTTAGTTTTTGTAAAATAACGCTAATCAGAATAAATAGCGCTTTTTAAAATTACCTTATATGCGAGCGTTTTTCCGGTCAATCAATCACATTTCTCGTTATTATCAAACTAAAATCATTTGTATAATTTTGCCCGCAACATGAACAGGTCCTAGCATCAGAAAAAACGTATTATACCTACAACAATCCATGCGAAACTTCGTTCAAATAACGCTTAACCTTTTTGTCTAATCCAATAATTTTTATCCCATCACCCTCAATATGGACGCTTCCTATAATCCAGCAATAAAACCATGGTTGCGCATAACCCGGTATGCGTTACGAGCGGCGCGCGCCATATATCCGCTGCGCGGGAGCAGACGGCAAAATAAACGCGCATACGTGCGAACATGTCAGGATTTTATTCTGCTGATTTAATGTGCGCTCTATGCAAGTGATTTACGGTTTTATAATTTTAAAATACAAACAAGAGAGGCGAGCGTAAACCGATTATGGTCACTTTTGTAGAGCTTTCGTGTAACGTGATGGAGCTTGAAATACTTTCTACTTTTTGCATATTTGAACGCTTTTACGTTCTAAATCACTGTGTACTTAAGTTTTGGTGCCCATATTTTGAATGTTACCTAACAATTCTGAAATATTGACAAAAACGAAAGTTCAAATCTTCAATATTCAAGAAATTCCTTGACGGAAAACATTCCGTACGTTCTAATATTTCTAAACAACTCGAGCTTCCAATATTACTTTACATATATGCAAACAGAACGAGTACTACGAGTAGGTACCGGTCGACTTTAACAAGCACAAATTGCCATACAAGACGGTGTCATTCGAATTTTATTGCGATTAATATTTACGCACATCAATTTTTAGTGCTGTTTACTTGACAAGTTAGCGATAGCCCACGTGTGCATACAAACAAAAGGCTCGTATGAATAAGCTGGGATTCGTTTTGAGGTCTTCGTTTATTTCCTGAAAAGTAGAGATGGCATAACTTTATTATCATTTGAAAATTCCTGTAAAAATTAAATCCCCTTGTTTGCTGAATCCATTGCCAACACAAGCGTAGCCTATTCCTGTAATTAGCTTAGTTAGTGGTCATATTAACACAGGTTAAGTAGTACTTACTTCATTGGAATTTGATTACTACAAACCATTTTTTTAATCTACCACGTACAATCTATACTTATAATAAATCTGTAGAGAGGTCAATTCTGTACATGAAATATATTTTCAAAATAACTATCAGGGGGTGATTAGTGATCGATACTGATGCCAAAAATGCAATCAGTAAAATTTTTGTCTGTCTGTCTGTCTGTCTGTCTGTCTGTATGTTCCTTATAGAAACAAAAACTACTCAACGGATTTTAACGAAACTTGGTACAATTATTTTTCATACTCCTGGGCAGGTTATAGTATACTTAGGAATTCCCACGGGAACGGGAGTTAGCGGGAAAAAACATTTGTATGAAAAAATCTATACCACTTAAGTTAGACGCTTGAAATTTGGCATGCAGGTATCTTAGTAAACTTAAAGCTTAGTTACAACAGGATATTGCAAAATTCCCACGGGAACGGGAGTTAACGGGAAAAAACATTTGTATGAAAAAATCTAAACCGCTTAAGTTAGACGCTTGAAATTTGGTATGCAGGTATCTTAGTAAACTTAAAGCTTAGTTACAACAGGATATTGCAAAATTCCCACGGGAACGGGAGTCAGCGGGAAAAAACATTTGTATAAAAAAATGTAAACCACGTAAGATAAATGAAGGGGGTAAAACGGGATCCACGCGTACGAAGTCGCGGGCGGCCGCTAGTCGTTAATAAACAAGATCGTAGAAAAGCTCTTTAGCATTCAGTAAAATAGTTGAAAATAAAATATAACAGTAGTGTAAAAGTAAGATCACATTATTAATACGCGTTGAACTCCTGTTTAGCTGGCGGTCGAGGAACCTGCCTACTTGGCATTCACGATTGGAACTAGTGCCAAATAAACTATCACAATGAGGCTCCTATGGCCGTAAACGTAAGTTGGGCAGGAATTAATTCTATCTGCTTGATTTAGGGCCTTTGAAGTTGCGGCCCGGATGAATTTGATATGCTTCGCGAATAGATAAGTGGTAGGCTGTATAGCTATGAGCAATTTTAATACATAAAAAATAAT